GTTTATCCATTCCTCTGTTGATGGGCATCTAGGTTGTTTCCATCTTTTTGATATTGTGAACAATGCTGCCATGAACATAGGTGTGCATATGTCTATTCGTGTGACGACTCTTATTTCTCTAGTATATATTCCTAGGAGTGGGACTGCTGGATTGTATGGTACGTCTATTTCTAGCTTTCTAAGGAAGCGCCATATCATTTTCCAGAAAGGTTGTATCATTTTGCATTCCCACCAGCAGTGCATAAGAGTTCCGATCTCCACGCAGCCCCTCCAACATTTGTTATTTCCAGTGTTTTTGATTCATGCCAGTAATGCCGGGGTGAGATGGTATCTCATTGTGGTTTTAATTTGCATTTCTCTAATGGCTAGTGATCGCATTTCCTCAGGTGTACACAAATTTTAGTATGAACATATGTTCTCATATTTCTTCTACCTAAAAGTGGAATTGCTGGGTCATACATGTTTAACATTCTGAGGAACCACCAAACTGTCTTCCAAAGCAGCTACACCAATTTACATTCCCACCAGCACTGTATAAGGGTTTCAATTCAATTTCTCTACATCCTCACCAACACTACTATTATCTGTCTTTTTTTATTATAGTCATCTCAGTGGGCATGAAGTGGTATCTTACTGTGGTTTTAATTTGCATTTTCCTAATGGTGTTGATTATCTTTCCTGCTTCCACTCTGAACCCCTTACAGTATATTCTCTATACAGCAGAACTGGAGCGATCATTTTTTAAAAGTAAATCACACCTATGAGAATAGTTAAGATTTTTAAATCTGACAATTCCTATATTGTCAAGAATTTTGAACAAACGGAAGTGTAATATACTGTTTGTGGCAGTATAAACTAGAACCAGTAGAGTTAAAAGGATACACATAACCCATGACATGGAATTCCACTCCTAGGTATATACATCTTACAAAAATATGGGCTTATGTGCTCCAAGACACAAGTAGAAGAATGTTCATTATTTGTAACTGCCAAAAAATGTAACCAACCCAAATGTTCAAAGACAGTAGAATAGATAAACTATGGTATATCCATACAATGGAATGATACAGAATGGTGAAAGTGAACTAATCACAGCTCACATAACAACTTGGATGAATTTTAAAAACAATGCTGAGTGGAAGAAGCCAGACACAAAAGAATATATACTAAATGATTATATTTATACAATAAAGTTTAAAAACAGCCTAAAATAACTAGGTTATAGTAGGCATGCGTACTTGGGTGCTAAAACTCTAAAGAAAGACGAGGAAATTATTACCTTAAAGTTAGGATTGTAGTTACCTCTAGGAAGAATGGAGGGAGTTGTAATCAGGAAAGGGCATACAAGGGGTTCCTGGAGTACTAGCAATCTTCTACTTCTTAACCTGGTTTACTTCCCTAATCAATACTTCAGGTTCTCTTCTCTGTACCCTCCATTTCCAAAATAAACCCCTTTCCTCTGCTGATTCTTGAATCCTTATCTCATCCATTTATCCCACTCCACTCCATTTTATTCTTTTTCTCCTTCTAACTCTTTGCAAAATGATCTTCAGCCCTTCTCCATGTATCTCACACGTGTATTTTCTCTTAGAAAAAATGTCATATTTGTATCCTTCAGTATGCCTAACAGAGTACATAACACAGAGTATGTATGCATTTAATAAATTACTGAAATGAATATAATAGCTTTCAAAATTTATTTCCAAGACTTACCTTGCTTATAACTTCCAGCATTACCAGGAAGAAAGAGAACTGGAATCCCTGTCAAAGGCAGAATTTTGTGTTCTTCAGCATACGATCCTTCTCCATAAAGATACAACTCATATGCAGGATAGCGTTTTGCCAGTTTCTTTGGAAGTTCTATTTTCTACAGCAAAAAATACAATTTCACTTTAATCAGTTTTATTTATACAATGCAACCTCATTTTATGCAATTCTGAATTATACAAATTTAAAATAATATAATATAAAAATATTAATGATGATAAAACTGAACTAAACACACAAAACAAGGCCTACTTTTAATTTATTCCTGTAGCGAATTAGTCTTAAATTATGTGAGTTTTGAACCAGGAAAGCATAAAACGGGATTTACCTGAATTTTTAATGAATACAAGCTACTCAAAATTGTCACTGACCACCTCAGAAAAGTATCTCGGTATGAGTCCGTAAGTTACGTGTTAACATAATTAAAAATGCATTTAATTTCTTATAGGTATCATTGTGTTTAGAAATTATTAAAGCTTTCCATTATCAAATTACTTCTCTTCTGCCATTTGAAACTTTTTCTAATGTTTCTCTCCTTTTACTCTGGGCTAACTAGATACTCCAGCTGTTACATCATTCAGAGAACAGTGAGTTTGTTTTATAATGCAACTTTTTGACCTCTCAACTTAATATGCTTTGACCTACAATGTGCTTAACAAATTAATCTAAACATTATAACCATGTCTTAAACAAGAAATGCAGACTCTTCTCATCATAAACATTCCAATAAATTAGGACCTGTTTCCATACTCATGGACCAGGTGTATGGTTTGTCAGTAAGCCATAAACTACTCTGAAGCTAATGTTATTATATACCAAAATAAGTCAATAATTCACATAAAATTTTTTTCCAACATAATGTAAATTAGGTATTAATGTCATCCCCCAAAAGTAGGCATCTATAAAAGTGGTAGTAAAATATAAGCTCTTCTTCCTGCTCTTTTTTTTTAAAAGGATAAAAACTATTCACAGTGAATTGAATTACATTGGACAGTAGATTTTATTTAAGTAGACGTCAACAGATTTAATAATTCAAATATTAAATGCTGTACATCTAGTAAATATGTGCTTAATAAAAATTTTACCTACTGAATAAATTTCAAAAACTGAATGTTACTATTAATGACTATTGAAAACCTGACTGTTTCAAAAAACAGAATTCTGATCACTGATGCACCTTCTTGAAAATTCATCCAAAGATATTACCACAAACAATCTATCCAATAATACCATGAAAACATCTTTAGGGACTGAGTTTATGGTTTAAGACATTAGCAACTTTAGTTCTCTCTTCAAATACTCAAAATACAGAAATACTAACTCCACTATTTGCTTTACAGTCTATGTATACTTCAACTCAAATTAATCTCAATACTGATTATGCACAGTATGATGGAAAAATGAAAATGATACAATATTTTATTTCTTATATACAAATTAAGCAAAAGGAAAATCGCCAGCACATAACGTTTCTTCACTCCTTCCAATTTAGTCCATCATTTGATGTAACCAAAAAAAAAACAAAAAACCTAACTCGTTGCCATCAAATCATTCTGACTCACAGCAACCCTACAGGACAGAGTAGAACTTCCCCATAGACGTTTCAAGGAGCGCCTGGTGGATTCAAACTGCCAACCTTTTGGTTAGCAGCTGCACTGTTACCCACTATGCCACCAGGGTTTCCTTTGATGTAATAGTACATGCATATTAGATCATCAGTTCTTTTAGAACAGTAGCTAAACAAAGTTTTGAACTAGCTTAAATTAACCCAGAACAGGAAAACTATCAAAAATATTTAAAAAGAAATATTTAATTATCTTTAGAGACATAGAAACACAGAAAAAATATTATGATGCTATTATGAAAGTAATTTTGTAACGAGAAAATGAAAATTTTTTAAAAAAATGCATGTATACAATATGGAGTAGGAAAAAAAAGTATACATATAGAAAAGAGATGTAGAACAAAAAAAGAGGAGGCAAGGATGGTGCAGTTGTTGGCAAATGGTAAAAGTGCATTTCCAGAGTTCAAGTTGGGGGTGTGTGGTGGGAAAGGTAATTGACCAGACTGAGGGCAGAAAAGGTGTGGGCATACAAAAAGAAGGTTGATAAGAAAACAGAAGAGGGTCAAGGAATTAAAAAGAAAACATTTATAGCAACAGAACGCAAATATATTTTAAATTATTTTATACCCCCCCCCCCGCAAAAAACAACTGCCACCAAGTTCATTCTGAGTCATGGCGACCCCATGTGTTACAGACTAGAACTGCTCTATAGGATTTTCTTGGCTGCAATGTTTACGAAGGTCCCTAGATGGCGCAATTTGTTTGCACTCAACTATTAACATAAAGGTTGGTGGTTCGAACCCACCCAGCGGTACCACGGCAGCAGGCCTGAGAATCTGCTTCCATTTAGAGTACACTAACCGACGACAATCGGTAATCTTTACAGAAGCTGACTGCCAGGCCTATCTTTCTTTTGTGATGCTCCTGGGTGGGTACGAATCGTCAATGTTTAGGTTAGTAGTTGAACGCAATCCATTTGTGCCATCAAGGGACAATTATTTTAAATGAGTAGCTCCCCCAAAAAAGACCTTTAACTGAAACCAATTACCTTTACATTTAAATATTATCTCCATAAATTCTGACCCCGCTGTCCATCCTCCCTTGACTCTGCCATAGTCCAGGTCCTCCTCAATTTGAGAAAAAGACCTAGGAACAACTGAATCTTTCAGACTCTTCTGTCTCCCTATCATTACCTCCGAACTACTATCCATAGTCCATATTGCTTAACAAGAAATATCCTGCTAAAACACACACCTTATGTGTTTCTTCACCGCATACAGATTTAAAAAAGGCTTAAGAGAGACATCCTTTAAAATCTGGCTCTAATTCTTCTTACCTACTTTCTTACAACATCACATATGCCATGTTTTAAAATTTAAATGTTTCAAAAGTCAAGATTCAAAAGGGTATACAATGAAAAGGCTCTCTCCTGGTCTTTAGCCATCCAGTTCCCCCTTCCCCAGAAGATAACCAATATTGTCAGTGTCTTGTATATCCTTGCAGAAATATTTTTACATATACACAAACGTTTATAGATCATTTTCTAACATACTATACCCATAGCTCACCTTCACATACACTATTCTTTATGCCTGAAATTTTTTTGTTTCCGCATTTTATGAACTATACACCCTGCATGACCCAATTCACTACACCTTCTCTACAGCCTTTGAATACCTAAGACAAACTTGGATGCTCACTCTTTTGTGAAGAGCCTCATACACACTCTACTATACTGGCATTATAACATTACCACATTGTATTGTAACTATCCATTATATTCCTGTCTTCCCCATTGTACTATGAGGATGTAAAGTCACAAGGTCTAATTATCTCTAATTCCCTCTCACCTATACTGAATATCTAGAATAAACCTGGCACAGGGTAGTCATTCAATAGATGACTTGCTAAATTAACATTACAATTAATAAGAAAATACCTGATTCACATTTTTTAATATCAGCATTTCCTTTCAGGAGAAACTGTTAGGTCACATATCAATCAATAGACAGCCAAAGAAATTACCATACGGGAGAAAACAACTCAGATATTTCTTCTTGAATTCTACAATTTGCCTAAAATCGTTGCCAAATAAAAGTTTTGCCTTATTGTCATAATAAGGCAAGAAACATTAAAGGATAATGTGTATTTTGCCTAGTTGGTTTGAGATATGTTCATGAGATCTTCAGTTAGTGCCGAAGAAGTCAATCTAGGAAAACCAGTGGTAGGGGATGAATGGAGATGAATGATTTTAAATTAAAAAACTTCATTTTTGCAAAAAGTTTCAAATTCCTGCCCCACCTTTTAATAAAAAAGAAAGCGAATAAAATTGAATGAGATTCAGCTACCTTTCATTTCCTGTGCTGACCTGCTAGATAATACGCAAATAAAGAGTAAAAAAGAAGAAAGGTTATTAAGAGAGAGGAGAAAACTAAGGACACACCATACGCTGGATATCAACCTGTTAATAATTAGAGTTGACTATAATATATAATTAAAAGTAAGCAACACATAAAATATCTTGAGAGTATTTTTGGTAGTGAAAACCATTTGGTTCTTAAAAGAATAACCTGTTATACAGAAACTCACTATATTCAAAATGACTCATTTCCTAAGACAGCTTTAATTTTATTTGTAAAATAACTCAACCTGGTGTGCAAAATACGATGAAAGGACTAAGAGTCAAATATAAATATTATAGTGAATTAATATTACAGCTTTTTATGTCATAAAAATACCATCTATTGAGAGAATGTTTGTGTAGCTAGTATTGAGTTTTCTGTTTATGGGGATGGAAAATATGGCAAAGGAAATTGGTGATGGCTGCACAACATGAGTGATGTAATTAGCTTCACTGAATTGTACAAGTGAAAAAATACAGAATTGACAAATGTTACCTACATTTTTTACAACACTAATAAAAAACTTCCATTAAGTATAACTGTACTAACACATTAACAGAAATGTACTCCAGTTGAGCAACTGGAACCAAAATGAGTAAACAGGGACTATGCAACCAAAAAAGTCAAATAGGTATTTTGCATTAGTTACACTAATTTTCTGTCTTTTGAGTCAATTTTATGAGATAGGAGATCATCTGTAGGTCCATGTGCTTTGTTCCTAACACTTAGGAAAGCAATTTATAATATCGCAACTATTAAACTGGCTTCAGTAATTGTTGGCAATCTAAAAAGAAACAGGAATTAGTATTGTATTGTTCCACTGTTCCACAAAAATTTTATTTCAGCCAAAGTCTTCAATACAGCACAAAACTAAAGTGACCTACTTCAGTCTATTGGGAGTCTCCTAATTATTAAACCATAAAAAATGAAAGGGGGCTATACTCTATTTTCCGTTAAAAAAAAAAACCAAAACCGAAAACTAGAAGACTATGCATTTTATTATACATAGCTTCTGATAAACATCAACCAGCATATTCCAGAATATTTGTTTAGAAATTAACAGAGACAACAGTAACATGTTAAAATCTTCTATTTCAGTATCATCTGATACCGAATGTTTCCACTGCCTTATAATCAATGATGCAAAACCAACATAAGGATCTCAAAACAAATAAAATTTAAATTTACTAGAATTTTGCCCACAGGAAAGGATTTTTCAGCAATTTAAATCTTAGATAGTTTTATGACCTAAATTACAGTAGCATAATCAAATAATATGCTCCCTCCACACCCCGAAATGACTTGCACACAGAAGCAATCCTGACTTGCATTCTTTGCCCTACAGAAAAAAAATGTGCTATGGTTTTAAAAGTATATTAAAAATGCATTTTATCAATATGTATTGTAGTACATATACTTTTTATGGTAGAGAGTTATCATTATAAGAGGCATTTCGTAATTAGGAGACGCGTTTAAAAAAAATCATTCGGGAGAAATTTATTTGGACAGTTGTGTAATCCGTCACTACTTTTTACTGCTGGTCATGAATGAAATGATGAAGCAGTTGTAACTCAAAATACTCAAAATGAAACGGGAGGGGTGAGGGGAGAGAGGGACAGAAGAGGAGAGAGGGAGAGAAAGAGAAAGAGGGAGAGAGGGAGAGGCAGAGAAAGAAGGGCCGGGTTTCTCTTAAATTGTAAACACAGTGAGAAAACAAAAATAACACCATGAAACAGATTTTGTATGCAACTGGTAAGATAGTAATGAGGTCTGGCTGTTCGGCGACATGCATAAACACAAGCATGCAAAGACCCATAACCTGCAAAACACAAGGATCCGCAAAATCTTTACAGAAGGGATCCTAAAGAGTTTTCTATTTAATTAGCACTCATCAAGTTAGTCTTTCACCAGATATAAAACCCCGGAGTCTCTAAGACAACCTTGGGAACTATGCGAGCCAATTCAGAGTCTGCAGAAGCTCGGCTCCTTTCTAGAAAAGCGACAGCTGATGTGCAAATCTCTGGGCGAAAGGGCAGGAAAGTAGGCAGGTGGGAAGAGGGCCCAGGGCACCTGTTAAGGCAGGAACGCGAGGAGGATGAGGTTTGGGTTAGACAGAAGGGCTAAGGATCCCTCTCGGGATGAGGGGACTGGGCCCGGCCAGTCTGTGGAGCCTGTATTCGGGCTTTGAGGCCGGTGCGGGGCAGAGAGACAGGGTAACTACGAGCGGGGCGGGGAGCATGCTCCGGAAACCATCTATCAAACACCCGACCGTAAAGAGAGGACACAAAGGGCAGGTGAGGGGGCGGTGGGGGTCTGCAGAGTCTCCTGGGGCGGAGAAAACAGAGCTGAAGCAGGGATATGGTGGCCAGAAAAGCGCGGACTGCTGAGGTAGGGGAATCCACAGAAGGACCAGGCAGAAGTCTCGGATCGCCTAGGTGAGGAAAGGGCGGAACCTTACCTGATACTCCGGGTACTCGAACATGTAGCTCATACTGCACTTGTTCTCCTCGAAGCCGAAGAAGACATCCCACAGCCCCAGGGTCGCCATGAAGATCATGAAAGCATAAAACGCCAGGTTCCAGAGGTTGACTGAGTGAAGAAACATGGTACCACCGCCGCGGGGACCCGAGCCTGGACTGCCAGCGCCCGAGAACCACTGGTCCCCCGCGCCAGAGCGGAACCCCAGCAGCGCGCGCCTGCGCGGATGCCCCTCCAGCTCGCGCGCCCGCCGCGCAGTGCGTCTGCGCGCTGCGGACCCGGTTCTCCCAGAGAGAAAGGAGGAGGCGGTGTTTGCAGCGGGAGCGCGAATCTGAGGAAAGGAGGAAGGGGGAAAGAGGGAAGAAAGCGGAGGGGCTGGGCTGGAGGGTGAAGGGAAAAAAGGTTTGGGGCGAGGAGAGGGAAAGGAAAGAGGGAGGATGGGCGGAGCGCGGGAGCCCCTGAGGCGAGGAGAGGAAAGGGCCTGGCGAGGGGGGGGGCAGGAGGGGCCAGGTCTGGTGGGTTAACCTGGGAGGAGGGATGTATCCGAGACGGAGAGGCGGTTAATGACGGTGAGCGGACCGGGCGTGGAGAAGAAGGACATCAGAGCCCGGGGACCATCAGCTGTCAATCGCAAACACCTCGCCCTGCAGCGGTTTAAAAACGTTTCCGGTTCAATTTTGAAACGCTTCAGGCCTCAGCAATTTTGCCCCTCGCAGCAGTAATAGAGCAAATTCACAGCTCTCCAGACCAGTTAGCATAAGGAGGGAACAAATGGCTTTTCTCCCCCTCTTTGACCGCCGATTTAAAAGCACTGACTCTTAAAAAACACCAGCAGGTCGACAAGATTCTGGTCTTAGTACAAGATGAAAGCCCGAATCACAAAAAGCTTCGTTAGTCTTTAAAAATCTTTACCCAAAATTCCCATTAACACTGACATCCCCAGCAGACATTTGCGTGATCACTTTGACGCTGACTTGGCTTCCTCCCCAGAACCTCCACCTCTTTGGAAATTGATTCCAAATTAACGTGAGGAGGTAATTTCGCTCAAGCCTCAGAGTCTCAAGTGACTTAATTCATTCTGAAGAATTTGTTTGGTTTTGCCCAAAGGAGGAGGTAAAAGCCATCTCAAAAACCGTTCGTAATCACGTGTAGCAGCTCAAAACAATGGCGCTGACCCAACAGCGGATGTGTGTGTGTATGTGTATAACTGCAGAGTTCTTAGAATTGTTTTGGCACTGACTGAATTTCATTTCTCTTGGGCAAATTTTCCCATAGTTTTTCTGTGCAGAGGGAGTTTGACTATGATACATAAAATCAAATAATTTTTAAAACTAAAAGGAAGCTTATAGTTTATCTTGTACAACACCCTGATATTCGGATGAAGAAGCCATCCATGAGAGGTTAACTGGTCCTGAAAGTAAAAATATTATTTACCTTATGTAGAAATAGTTACAAGTCTAAACAAATACAGCTGGATACTGGATGTGGAATATTGGTTAACAGAGAAAGAACTGGGGAAATGCAGAAGCAGGCTCTTTTTATGTACGGAAATAAGAAATTTGGAAGGACCAGAATAACTGGTGGAGGAACTATGAGTAATACTGACCAGGAGGGTAATTTTTCTTATTGTTATAAAAATACAGGTAACACACACACACGCAAAACAAACCAGTTGCTGTTGAGTCAATTCATCGATAACACAACGTTTGCAGATTCAACATATTTCACATGTACAATTCAGTGAGATCAATCATGTGCAACCATCACCAATATTCGTTACCAAATTTTTCATCACCATAAACAGAAACTCGATGCTTCCTAAACAATGATCCCCACCCCCCAACCTCTGGACCCTAGTAACCACTATTAAACTCTGTTCCCTATACATTTTCCAATTCTAGGTTTTAGAAGGGTACTTTTTAAGTAATATGTATTTGAGACATGTCTTGTATGAAATTCTTTATGTGATAGTAAATTCGCTTGGAATGTTAGGTCTTTTATGTTCTGTTGATAGGAATAGAATGTGTTAAATTTGTAGAATTACACAAATATGGCTGGATTAGCAAGAAGACCCCCTTTCAATCAGCAAGATACACGAGACAAACATGATGAAGAGGAATACTCTTCAGAGTTTTAACATTCTTGAGCTCACAAAAGAAAGTACCAGGAACTGACTGAGTCCAGTACAACTAGATGGTGCCCAGGCTACCACCACTGACTGCTCTGACTGGGATCACAACAGAGGGTCCTGGACGGAGCTGGAGAAAAATGTCGAACAAAATTCTAACTCACAGAAACAGACCAGACTTATTGGACTGACAGAGACTGGAGAAACCCAGAGAGTATGGCCCCCGGACACCCTTTTAGCTCAGTAAAGAAGTCACTCCGAAGGTTCACCATTCAGCCAAAGATTAGACAGCCCCGTAAAACAAGACAAGACTAATGGGGCACAAGAGTCCAGGGACAAGGACTGGAAGGTAGGAGGGGACAGGGATCCCAAGGTTCAGAAGGGATGGTGTTGACGTGTTGTGGGGTTGTTAACCATTGTCATAAAACAATATATGTACTAACTGTTTAATGAGAAACTATTCTGTAAAACTTCATCTAAAGTACAATAAAAGAAAAAGAGAGTACCTGGGGTGTGGGGTGAAATTAGGGAAGAGTTGGTGCAGAGAATGACAAATCATTTGGAGAAGGATTGAGTTATGGATAAAAAGCTGATATATTGAGCCTGGGAGCTCAAGAACACCATGGACAGAATGTCTGCCCCTTGTTTCTCCTAGCATATTATGACCAGCACATAATCAAGAATTGTTGTGAATCCACATTACTTCATCTGTCTATCCTAGTACTTCTTAAACGTAATGTTTTAAGATTCTGTTAAAAAGCAGATTCTGATTCAATAATTCTGGGATGGGGCCCAAGATTCTGCATTTCTAACAAGTTCTCAGGTGATGCCACTGTTGCTGGTCAGTGGCCCACACTTTGAGTAGCATGGATCTAGCCTACCTGAGAACTCTGCTACGTGGAAAAAAATCTAGAACTTAAAGATGAAAGAGCTTACTCTTCTGGTGGCTTTCATGAATTGTAGCAACCTGCTGCCTCCATTGTCCACTCAGAAAGAAGTGGGATAGGGAGTCAATGGATTCTTTATGTTTGTAATCTTTTTGTTCCCAATTTTTTACTTTCTTTTCTCCTATCCATTATGATCTTCCTCTTGACTTCACTTCCTTTCATATCGATCCTGACCCTATTTAGCATCACTTCAACCACCCTCTGCCAGTGCCGTCAACTTCCTTGAACTCTTGTCTTTCTATTGCGCTCTACTTAGAAATTTCCAACATTAGGTCTATAAATGTAGTCTGACGCTGAGCTCTAACACTGGTATATCCAAGCACTGCTGGGGAAAGTGACACAATCATTTAAACTGACTACTCAGAAATACTTTTATATGTTTCTGGTCAACTTCCTCATCTATATTCCAAACCATCACTCTTTTTAAACTCCCTACACCATCTCTTCCCCTTTTAGCAGATTAGCAGATAACCTTATCTTTGGCTTCACAGAGATAATTTTTGGATTTCAGGTCCACATTCCTTCAACTCCTCACCCCCAAGTTTAGCATCTCCAAACCCAAAAAACCAAGCCCTGTTGCTGTTGAGTTGATTCCAATTCATAGCAACCCTATAGGACAGAGTAGAACTGCTTCACAGAGTTCCCAAGGAGCACCAGGTGGATTTGAACTGCTGACCTTTTGGTTAGCAGCCATAGCACTTAACCACTACGCCACCAGGGTTTCTTATCATGGCCATCCAATCTTAATTCAGTTAATACATCTAAAGTGCTTGTAACAATGCCTGGCACACTGTTTCTGTTAGGTGCTGTGAGTCGGTTCTGACTCATAGCAACCCTATGTACAACAGAACAAAACACTGCCCGGTCCTGTGCCATCTCACAACTGATGTTATGCTTGAGCCCACTGTCGAAGCCACTGTGTCAATGCATCTTGTTGAGGGTCTTTCTCTTTTTTGATGACCCTCCACTTTACCGAGCATGATGTCCTTCTCCAGGGACTGATGCCTCCTGATAACGTGTCCAAACTATTTGAGACAAAGTCTCGCCATCCTCACTTCCAAGAAGCATTCCGGCTGTACTTCTTCCAAGATAAATTTGTTTGTTCTTCTGGCGGTTGATGATATATTCAATATTCTTCACCGACACCATAGTTCGAAGGTATCAATTCTTCTTCTGTTTTCCTTATTCATTGTTCAGCTTTTGCATGCATATGAGGTAATTGAAAACACCATGGCTTGGGTCAGGTGTACCTTTGTCTTCAAGGTGACATCTTTACTTTTTAACACTTTAAAGAGGTCTTTTGCAGCAGATTTGCCCAAATCTGCCTGGCACATAGTAAGCATTATTATTATACTTTGCTGTCCTTGGCTGTGGTGGTGGTGGTGGTGTGCCGTGGAGTTGATTCCAACTCATAGCAACCCTATGTGACAGAGTGGAATTGTGCCATAGGGTTTTCTTGGCTGTAAATTTTATGGAGGCAGACCTCCAGGTCTTTCTCCCACAGACCCTGGGTGGGATCGAACTGCCAAACTTTTGGTTAGCAGCTGAGTGCTTATCTATTGTGCCACCAGAGCTCCTTTTGCTGTCATTAAACCCGTTGCTGTTGAGTCGATTCCAACTCATAGCGACCCTATAGGACAGAGTAGAACTGCCCCATATGGTTTCCAAGGAGCAGCTGGTGGATTCAAACTACCAACCTGTTGGTTTGCAGTGGTAGCTCTTAACCACTGCACCACCAGGGCTCCTTTGCTGTCAACAGAGGACATCAAAAGCTAATCTTTCTAGTAGTGTTTTAGTTCTCATCCCCTCTCTTTTCAAGAAATTAGTTCTGTTAAATTACGGCCTCTATCAACCTCTCTCATTCATTTAAAAAAAGAAAAAGAAAAATCCTCACTGTAAATATCACCTGTAGCTCTTGCCATCTCTTATTGGTTAAGGTTCCTAAAGGTGTGGTCTCTACTTTTATCTAATTTCTCACCTCTCATTCCCAACTCAACACACTATAATTTTGTCACTCTTCTCCCCACACATACCAATGACACTTTTCTTGCAAGGATAAGAAAAGATCTAATTACCAAAGTCCAACTGACACTTTCCAGTCTTACTTGATCTTTCCACTACATTTGCCACC